AAGCTCAGCTGGGTGGCTCAGTTGGTTGGGCATCTGCCTTTGTCTCGCATCATGATCCTGGGGTCCTGGGATGGAGCCCCAAGTTGGGCTCCCTACTCAGCGGGGGGCCTGCAGCTCCCTCTCCTCCCTGTTTGTGCTCTCTCTTGCTATCTGTGTCTCTCAAATAAATAAAAATAAAATCTTTTTAAAAATTTCTGTATAGGGGCGCCTGGGTGGCTCAGTGGGTTGAGCCGCTGCCTTCGGCTCAGGTCATGATCTCAGAGTCCTGGGATCGAGCCCCGCATCGGGCTCTCTGCTCGGCAGGGAGCCTGCTTCCTCCTCTCTCTCTGCCTGCCTCTCTCCCTACTTGTGATCTCTCTGTCAAATAAATAAATAAAATCTTTAAAAAAAAAAAAATTTCTGTATAGTTTCACCTTACCGACTTGGTAAGTCTTCAAGTCTTTTTTTTTTTTTTTTAAGTTGAGGTAAACTTTACATAACATAGAATGAACTATCTAACAGTGAAAAACTCACTGGCACTTAGTACATTTACAGTATTAGGCAGCCACCACTTGTGTCTAATTCCAAGATGCTGCATCGCCCCAAAAGGAAACCCCATACCTATTAATCAGTCACACCTCCCACTCAAACATTAACCTGATTTCTAACTCTATGGAGTTGTCTATTCTAGACATTTCAAGTGGAATCATACATTATTTGTCCTTTTGTCCTCTTGCGCTCAGTGTAATGTTTTTGACGTTCGTTTATGTTGTGGCATGGGTCAGAACTTCATTCCTTTTTATGGCGGAATAATCTTTTGTGTATCCATTCATTGATCAATGGAAATTTGGTTCTTTCTACTTTTTGGCGATTGTAAATACAATTGTGTGCAAGTGTTTGTTTGGACACCTGTTTTCCATTCTTTTTTTTTTTAAGATTTTTTTTTTTTATTTATTTGACAGAGAGAGATCACAAGTAGGCAGAGAGGCAGGCAGAGAGAGAGGAAGGGGGAAGCAGGCTCCCCGCCGAGCAGAGAGCCCGATGCGGGACTCGATCCCAGGACCCTGAGATCATGACCTGAGCTGAAGGCAGCGGCTTAACCCACTGAGCCACCCAGGCGCCCATGTTTTCCATTCTTTGAGGTACATACCCAAGAGTGGAATTGCTGGGTCATATGGTAACTGTCTGTTCAATTTTTGAGGAATTGCCAAACTGTTTTCCAAGGCAGAGGCATTTACACCAGCACTTTCTCCACATTCTTGCTGACACTTTTTATTTTCTGGCTTTCAAAATCTGTTTACTTATATCAGAGCTAGCCTTGTGGGTGTGGCCTCGTATCGCTCGTGGTTCACACTCTGGCTTTGCAGGGACACACTTAGTTTTATGCTGGACTCTCCTGGGTTTTTGTTTTTTTGTAATAATCCGGATGTTAAGGCTGCACCCCTGTCAGCAGGATTTAAAGCTCCGGGGGTGATTCCACTACGGAGGCAAAGTTGGGAATCACTGTGCCAAAGATCCCAGAATGCTCTCAGTTACATGGTCTTTTTAATCAGAAATTCAAATCATGTTCAACTTATTGGGCCAGGCCCACCTTTATCTGAAGAATGGCAGGGGAGTGATACAGGGTTCTGTCAGCCATTCCAACCCTAAGAGCTAAGGCCAGGTTTTTAGGTTTGTTTGTTTGTTTGTTGTTGTTGTTTTTTAAGAGAGGAAGTGATTTCACCACAGTGGCACGCGGGGCAGGGAGGCAGAGTGTTTCCAAGGGTCCCAAGTGAACTGCTGAAAACAGAAAAAACAAAAGGCCCCTGGCTTTGATGGCAGGTGCAGCTGCTAAGGGCTGCTGGTCCCACCCCGCCCCCCACCTCCCTTCACAAGAAGGTTTGGAACGGCAGCACCGTTGCTGGCCTCTGGGTTCTTAGACCCTGGTGAGGTTTCCACTTAGCACCTTGCTTCCCTGCCACCATCTTCCTCTTGCGAACAGACAGCCTTTTTCCATTTTCTACTTTCTTCTTCCCACTAGATAGTTACTGTTGCTAACCGAGCTGGACAGACATTGTGGCTATTCCTCTGAATTTATAAAGATTTTATTTATCTGTTTGAGAGAGAGAGAGAGAGAGAGAGAGAGCAAGAGGGGGGGAGGAGAAGAGGGAGAGGGATAAGCAGACTTTGTGCTGAGCATAGAGCCCAACATGGGGCTCAATCCCATGTCCCTGAGATCATGACCTGAGCCGAAATCAAGAGCCAGAAGCTCAACCAACTGAGCCACCCAGGCGCCCCTATTCCTCTGAATTTATAAAAACTCCTGTTGCAGACATCTAAGTTGGCCTGACTGTGAAGAAGCAGGTGGGACCATGTGAAGGTGAGTTTTGGCTAAGAGTAATACCTAGCATCAGTAGCATTTGTCTATAAAAGAGCCCATGGTTTTCCCTCTAAGGTTATTGTCACTGTTGTTACCACCCTCCAGCTGCCGCTCCTTCCTCGGCCCCAGGACCGCACCTGGTGTGGACCAAGGGGTTCTCTTCTCCTGCCATCGACGGACCACGGGGAGTCGTGTGGGACAGGACCACGTGGAGGACTGGGCCCGTGGCAGGGGCTTTAGGGGAGCGTTCAAGGAAGCTGGGTGTTGCTCTAGTTTGTATGCTGGCCGGGAGCGAGGTAATTCCAGGGTCAGGGGTCCCCCTCAATCTTCTCCAGAAGCAGGGAGGACCCGACAAAGGCTGTGACTGGTGAGGAAGCAGCAGTCCCTCCTGTTAGTCAGGATGCCGGCATGTGTGGGGACATTTGTGATTTGGACAAGGTTCACTTGTTCTCCGTGTTCACACAGGATTACAGAGTGGTCTTGTTTTTGTCTTGTCCCATCCTGGCCACAGAGTGGCCTTGTCTGATGTCGGTGTCCTGGGGAATTATTTATGTTCAATGGAAGACTGCCTGGCCAGTTCCCAGATGGCAGGGGCTGCTTTTCTGTCTCAGGCCTCAGTTTTGGCCAAGAGCAGACAAGGTCAGGCCAGAGGATGTGAATCCATGAATATCCACATTTTCACCATTGCCAAGACTCTGTTGATTAGGAGGCTGTTTCGAGAGCGCAGGCTGTAGTTGGGTAAATTTCTCCTGCTTCTCTGCTGCAGGATAGGCTGCTCAATTATCTGGTGTGACAAAAGCTACACAGGACACACTGGTCAACTGTAACACAAGCAATTCCCACAAACAAAATGATTATTCATCCTGTACCAGGCCTTGAAGCCAGGGGCCTGGATTATAAAACCCAGACAATGAGAACACATTCCAGAGTCCAAACAGGTACTCACAGCCCAGTTGGAGATGCTTAAAGAGGGCTGAAGACCTTGGTTCTGCCCATGGCATACCTGTAGCAATTCTGCCAGGATTCTGTCATTGGTAAGAAATGCCCAACACTGCAAACATCTTTAAAATAACTCCCAAAAGCACCTCAACAGTGTGGGCTCCATTTCCAGGCCTATTTATCCCTGATGTTGTGCTTATTTCATGAGCCACTTGTGTTAAACCCCACTTTTTTTTTTTTTATGGCAATCTGATTAGCTAATGAGAAAGCATCTTAAGGAAGTTCATCTCCGTCTATTTTCCACCTTGCAGAAGTAAGGGGAGACACCTTCACTGGCCACTGCTGCTCGCACTTCAGGACACAAGCTGCTAAGCCGGCCAGGCTACATATTTTGCAGGCTCAGTGCAAAAGGAAAGCCGGGGGTCCCTTGTTCAAAATTGTTAAGAATTTCAAGAAGGAGCGGAGAAACCAAGTTCAGGGCCTGTCTGAGCTCGAGGCACTGTGCCAATGCGCAGGTTACATGCCCTAGAGGCCTGCCCTGCGACTGCGTGACAGTGACAAGAGGTACACTTGAGACCTGTGGAGTCTTGCTGTCCATGCAGCATGACTAGGGACAACTGTGTCCCCCTGACAGGACTTCAGAGGAGTGGCGAGTACTGGAGAATGTCCAAGGATGAAAGCTGGAGCTGCAATCTAAGGTAGCTAGACGCACGCCTGAGATAACAGAATAGCTGGAGAAATTGAGACCCTGGGATCCCAAGAAGGAACATACACAGAGCGGGTGCGAAAAGGGCGATCCAGTTCTTTACAGGATGGGCTGTATTGTTCAGTTCTTGTAGAAAGGTGAAAGACTCCGAAAAACAGCCACTAGGGACTGGTCTTGGGAGAGGCGAGTTCAATACCTAGGTTCTTTATTCTTTCACGAGGGTACAGAAGTTCACGCAGTTAAAGTTTGGCCATTACAGTGATTCCTGTGGAGCTTCCGGACGCTGAGAGACGCACGGAAGACTCCTGGCATGATGGAACCATTTGCTTAGTGCCACTGTCAGTGGAATAAAGGAGGGCTTTAGAGCGCGCGGATGTTCTCTCCTTTGCCACATCGTGTTAAATACCAGCCACCACCTCGAACAGGGGACATCCAGCAACTCTGGAATCTGTAATTTCCCAAATCAGCATTAACAGCCTTATCCTCTGACTTGCTTCTCCACCATTCCCATTTTTCCTGCAAACGTAGGTAAGTAAGACCAAGAGGTTTTCATTTGGTCCCCAAATACAAGCCGACCCTTGCTAATAATAATGGAAATAATTCTAATGGGTTTAACTGTAGCATTTCAAGAGTTAAGGAAAAGGCGGCAGTACTTTTAGCCTACGGGGTGGATCCTAGCATTTGATTTCTTGACTTAGCCAGGAAATAAGAGGGGCCCCGGCTTGGGGGATGGTCTGGGGATGTGTAAGGGGTGGGCCCCCCGGAAGTCGTGCTGCACTGTTCAAACCTAAGGTGACCTAAAGGATGGCGGGAGCGCCCGCCCGATCGTCTGCGCGGGAGCGGCCATTGGTGACGCACGCCGGGGAGCACGGCGCCCACGTTTCCACCATTACATTAGCGAGGCCCCACACCCTGCGCTCTAAGTTCGGGGCTGCGGGCTTCCTCGCTTCCTCCCTCCCGGAGGCGGGCCCGACCCCGCCCCCGCGCCCCGGATCGCTCCCGGCGGTCCCTCCCACCTCCTACCCTCGGCCTCCCTGGCGCGGCTCACTCCCCGCCGGCCGCAGCCCGACACGCCGTGCGGCCCCCCAGTCTCCCGCGGCCGCCTCCCCCAGGCATGGCACAGGGCCTCGCCTCACTATGGCAGCAGCACGGCACAGCACGCTCGACTTCAAGCTCGGCGCCAAAGGTGAGGGCGCGCGGCGGCCACCTGCCCGGCCGCCCGCGCCGCCCGCCGGGCTGGGGCCAGCGGGGACCGGGCGGGGCGCGCGCCGCGGGCCGAAC